ATTTTGACATAGATTTTCTGGGCTTTAGGGCACCAATGAGATGCCATTGCCATGTGTATATGGGGGGTTTGGGGTGGTGACAGTGACCCTTTTAGAGGGCCGAACGCGGAGGGCAAAAAAGACGGTGCGGATTGGACCAATTATCGCCCACCCCACTCCCCAAAACACCACGCACCTCTCTCGCACATACTCCATGTAATGGGCCAATAATATACTTCTTCATAAAAGGACATTCACAATCGTAGTCAAAATTATTTATTAAAATGTGTTATATGATAAAAAATAATAAAAGTGAGATTTAAAAATATTTATTAAGATGTGTTAAGAGTTTGTTAATTTTAAAGAGTAAGTGGTGGTGCAATGAATGTGTTAAGGGATATATTAAGATGTGTGTTAAATATATACATATATGTGTATATAATAAATAAAATAAATAAATAACTTAGTTTAATAAAAAATTTCAAGTCCAAAATTAAATTTTAAGTCCAAAAAAAAAATCCCAACAAGTAAAAAAAAAAAAAAAATTCCGTTGACCGGGTCAACCGGCCGGATGTCCGGCTAGTCAACCGGCTGGTCAACCCGTAAAATCATAAACACACTCCCTCCCCTAGCTAAAACCATCGCTGCAGTTAACAAACGTTTTAACACACCTTGCTAAAACACACCACTAACCGATCCACTGCAGTACCAAACAATACACCTTGCTAGCTAAAACTTACCAACTGACACTAACACTCTCCTTACTGTGTCCATTGTGGATGCTCTAATAGGCCAATAACAAAAAATTTAAAAATAACAATATAGAAACGGAAAATTCTAATATATATATATACAGTAATGTTAGGAATTATGAAAAATCTTTCATGAAAATAATCATGAAAGTTTTGTGATTCTTGAATTACACTTAGAATAAAGTACCACACACTAATCAAGGTAATCCAAAGATCATCAATTTTTTATGATCATTTTCATGAAAAAAATTTCATGATCCTTGACTTTTTCCATATATATATATATATATATATATATTTTAAAAAGAGTATATCATGTATACTTTTAATTATATTATTTTAGTTATATTTTTAACCTGAGATATAATTAAAGAGTTCATGAGTTGAATTCTGATTCAGATCACTAATACACCATCACTAAAAGCAGCATGTACACTAATTACGCGATAATGTAAGAAAAGAAAAAAAACGAAGGCCAAACTATCATATCAGTGTCGGGTCCACATCTCGTTGTGTCATTAGTGGTCTACTTAGTGGTGTTAAATTAGTGGTATGAAGCATTTTTGTTTTTTTAATCATATTTATTTTTTTATTTTTTATTTTTTTTTTGAAAAATAATCAAACAAAAAGTTAAAAACTATCTTTTAACTTATTTCCTAAAATAGGTCTTAAAAATGCAATTATAGCCTATTTTGAAAAGTTTTAAAAAAAATTAATTTTTTGACTTTTTTTGATATTTTTTAAAATGTGTAAAAAAAAAATGATGTGACCAAATGAATTTCTTATAGTTGCCAAAATAGGCATATTTTTAAGAAAAATTATATATCAATATTTTTTAAAAACTAATTAGAAATCTGTAAAAAAAAAAAAAAAAAAAAAAAAAAAAAAAAAAACTTGATCAACATTAATAATTAAAAACATAATTTTTTTAATAATTTTATAAATACTTTTTTAAAAGTACACTAAAATTTACCCGTGAGATTGTTCAAAACTCACAAAAAGGAGGAGAAATTATTACATCTCAATCATAATTATTTCATTTTTTCTCTGATAAAAGTCAAAAAAACTAAAAAATCATCACAAATAAAACTTTTTAACCCAGATTAAAATAGTCAAAAAAATCAAAAAACTAACACACGTCCCAAATGAACCCTTAGTTTAGCACATGGACTTCAGGGATTTATTTTAATGGTTGAATCCGTTTATTTTAGGACAAATTATGCCAATAGTTTTTGTATGTTGATTTTTATATTATATTGTTTTATAAAATTTTAATTGAATTGATTTTGATCATAAATTGGTGACATTGTCTCAATGTACTCCAAGAAAAATAATATACAAGTCCACTTTTTAGATTTACTTTCTAGATTCAGTGATGTGTCAAAAAAAAATGATTGGGTCTAACTTTTGGGTCTAAATAGTAGTGCTCTTTATTAATTATAATTGTTAGCATTTTTTAATTAAAAAATATGTATATAAATGGCACATGTCATTATTTTGGGGGCAAAATTATAAGTTTTCTTAACTTTAGTGAGTTAATCTCAATCAATTCAGTGTTCATTTTGCATAAAAAACACTTATTAATATGTTTGGTTTTAATTTTCTGAAAATTGAGCTTTTTGTTTTTTGTATTTTTTTTGTTTTTAGTAAATATTTTTAAAATTTTAAGTAATTTTTTTACTTTTTTAGATGTACCTTACTTAGATGTATCTAAATAGTAAAATATTTGTGAAAAAATATTTTTAAAAATTAATAAATATACAAAAATACAAAAAAAAATGTAATGAATTTTCATATATATATATATATATATATTTTTGGTATTTAGTAAATTTTTTAAAGATTTTTTTCACAAATATTATACTTTTTGAGTATATTTATGTCAGGTGTGTCTAAAAAATTAAAAAAAAAATTACTTAAAATATTTAAAAAATTCAGTGAAAACATAAAAGTACAAAAAACAAAAAAATAAAATTTTCTAAAAACTGAATTCTGAAAACTAAAACCAAACAGAATGAGTGGCGTTATCAGTTGGACTAAGCTGATACAAAATCTAAAAATAAATATTAAAATTGAGCTAATTAAAAGTTTATGGACCAAAAAGATATAAGAGGCAATATAAAGACTATTGTATAATTTGCCCTTTATTTTATAGGCATTTTTGCATGCAAGTTATTATTAAAATAAAAAATCTAGTGTTCATTTTGCATCAAAAACACTAATGGCGTTATCAGTTGGACTAAACTGATACAAAATCTAAAAATAAATATTAAAATTGAGCAAATTAAAAGTTTATGGACCAAAAAGATATAAGAGGCAAAATATAAAGATGGTATAATTTGCCCTTTATTTTATAGGCATTTTTGCATGTAAGTTATTATTAAAATAAAAAAAAATAAATTTATCTATTAATGGTAGTTACATAATTTTATCATATTCTTCTTCAAGATTTAGACAGCCTATTTTTAAAATGACTCTCTTTTTTTCTCTTTAAAATCCATTTTTATACGTTTAATTTTTTTAATACTAATATAATAAAATCATACTATTATGATTATTGAATGAATAAAAGTTTTATGGATAATGTATATACCATTAAAAATTAACAAATCAAATCATGCCCATCGTGTGTTTATAGACCTAAATTGGACTGTCTAGTCCATAAGAAGATTGGTGAGAAATCCAACCTTTTCTAATTATAATTATAATTATAAGATGATGCGAGAATTTCTCACCAAAAAATTGTATTCCCTTTGTTTCAAAATATTAGTCTCTTATTTCATTTTTTATTGTCCCAAAATATTAGTTCATTTTCAAAACTTAAGTACAAAAAAAATATAGATTTCTTATTTTGCCCTTCTTTTAAATTCATTAACAATATAAAAAGTATAATTACGACATTGATATTCTCCAAAAAATGTACTATCAAAGGGTAATTTTGGAAAATTATTTTTTAAAAGTACAATAATTGTACAACTAAAAAATTTAAATTTTCCAAAAAGGACCATTATTTTGGGATGGTGGGAATAAAATTTTAAGATGTAAACGATTTTATAATTAAAACTATATTAAAGAAGAAAAAATTATAAATGAAAATTTCACATCTCATGTCACGATGATCTAAAATGTGAAAGAGTTTAAAAAATAAAATATATATTAAAAAATAATGGACCATTAGATTGAGGTAGTTAAAGCTTTGGAAAGTGATTTACAAATACAAATTGTATTAAAAGAAAATATATAATAATGTTTTAATAACATTTGTTGAATTGTTAGAACAATGATTTGTGTTTTGATTGGAAAGAAGACCTCATTCTATTAGGAATGACATTTTTTTTTTTAATCGACAAAAGTGAATTTTATTAATGAATATAGAGAAAATACATTAATAATATTTATTGCCTTGTTCTGTCTCTAAATCCCTTAGGATGGGTTTTTTCCTGCCCGAATAATCATTATTCACAATATACTATATGATAATTAATTTTATTAATGCTTATATTTTTAAAATTTTAAAATTAACTCATTCCTATCTGGCCACCACGTAATTTACCCACCTTTAGGCCTCGTTTGAGGACTGAATATTTTAGCTAAAAAGTCAAAAAGTCAACTAAAACTAATCACATCATCTCTCTACTTTTTTGCACATCTTTTCGTAAAAAATTAAAAAATTATTAAAATAGCCTGTTCCCAAAGGAGTCCTTAATATGATACAGGACAAGAGGATGGCACTATAAACTAGTCTCAAATTTACTCAGTTGCCGTTCCTACATTCTGTGCCAAATAAAATAAACAACAATGATTCATCCCACTAAAAACATCACCACTAATAGTACTAATGCATTAAAAAAGTGTAAAAAAAAAAAAAAATACAACTCCAAAACCAAAACATCACATCATAATAGCGGGACCCACTGCCACCTAATTAGTGGGAGCACTAATTAGTGCTCCCAAGCATTTTTCTTAAAAAAACTAACATTTTAACTTTTAACCTAATTATTGGACCAATAGTATAAAATTTGATAATAGTAGGTATAGCACATTATAAATGCACATATATAAAAGGTGAGTGAGAGAGAGAGGAGGAGGTCGTGTCAATATTTGAAGCATCTATGTCCCGCAGCCTCCATATTTCGATTTCCTCGTCAATCTTTCTGAGTCCCCCCTCCCTTCCACAAATCAACACGTGGCTTCTCCTACACGTTGGAGCTGGGCCTCCACCCCAACTTCTCTCTCTATATATACCTCCCTCTCTCTCTATCATTCTCCCCCCAAAACTCAAACTACTCTCTCTCTCTCTCTCTCTCTCTCTCTCATCACTGCCAACTCTCACATTACATCTCACTACAACACACTACAAAAACCACTCAAACAAAATAGGGATTCCATGGCTTCTTCAGCTACTGCAACAGCTTCAAGTACATGGGCTAAGCCCAAACCCTCTACTCCGTCACTTGAATTGGGCTCTCTCTCTAGCTCAATCTCTTTAGCTAAGCCCAATAGACCACACCACCAACACAATCCAAAGCTATCAACATATCAAACACCAACTCCACCAACTCCTGTTATTGCCATTATCGCTACCACTACTATCGCTACCACCGTTACTATCCCGACTTGCCCAAACGAGAATACATTAAATCCGTCATCGCTGTCTCCGAAATGGAATTTCTTACAGAGAGCCGCGGCGGCGGCTTTGGACGCGGTGGAGACCGGGTTGGTGGCACGTGAGAAGGAGCATCCTCTTCCGAAAACAGCCGACCCGGGAGTCCAAATCTCCGGCAATTTCGCTCCGGTACCGGAACAACCCGTCCGGCATCACCTTCCGGTCACCGGGAAAATACCGGAATGCATTGAAGGAGTCTACGTCCGGAACGGAGCAAACCCATTGTTCGAGCCGGTCGCCGGCCACCACTTCTTCGACGGCGACGGCATGGTCCACGCCGTCGAGTTACGTGGTGGCGCGGCCAGCTATGCTTGCCGGTTCACTGAGACACAGCGATTCGTTCAGGAACGAGATTTAGGCCGTCCGGTATTCCCCAAAGCTATCGGCGAACTCCACGGCCACTCCGGTATTGCTCGGCTATTGCTATTCTATGCTCGCGGGCTATTCGGGCTAGTCGATCACTGCCACGGCACCGGCGTAGCCAACGCCGGACTCGTTTACTTCAACGGCCTATTACTCGCCATGTCCGAAGACGATTTACCGTACCACATCAGAGTCACTCCCTCCGGTGATCTCGAAACAGTTGGTCGGTACAATTTCGATGATCAGCTCGAAACCACCATGATTGCTCACCCCAAGCTCGACCCAATTTCTGGTGAGCTCTTCGCTCTAAGCTACAATGTCATTCAAAAGCCGTACCTCAAGTACTTCCGATTCTCACCATCAGGTGAGAAATCGCCGGACATTGAAATCCCACTATCTGAATCAACAATGATGCATGACTTCGCAATCACCGAGAGGTTCGTGGTGATTCCTGATCAACAAGTAGTTTTCAAGCTCCCGGAAATGATCCGTGGTGGGTCTCCTGTGGTGTATGACAAGAACAAAGTGTCCAGGTTTGGGATTTTGGATAAGTATGCTACTGATTCTTCTGGAATCAAATGGGTTGAAGCTCCGGATTGCTTTTGTTTCCATCTTTGGAATGCTTGGGAAGAGCCCGAGACCGACGAAGTGGTGGTGATCGGGTCCTGCATGACCCCACCGGACTCGATTTTCAACGAATGCGACGAGGGTTTACAGTCTGTTTTATCAGAAATCAGGCTCAATTTGAAGACTGGCAAGTCCACTCGCAGACCCATCATGAGCGAGTCTAATCAAGTCAATTTAGAAGCTGGGATGGTGAATCGGAACAAACTCGGACGCAAAACCCAGTTCGCTTACCTCGCGATCGCTGAGCCGTGGCCTAAAGTCTCTGGTTTCGCTAAGGTCGACTTGTTTTCTGGTGAGGTGAACAAGTTCATGTATGGTGATGACAAGTATGGTGGTGAGCCTCTGTTTCTTCCAAGAGACCCCAATTCAGAAAATGAAGATGATGGGTACATTCTTGCTTTCGTGCACGATGAGAAGGCGTGGAAATCGGAACTTCAAATTGTAAACGCCACGACTTTGGAGTTGGAAGCTTCGATCAAGCTTCCATCTAGAGTTCCTTATGGTTTTCATGGTACTTTCATGAGCGCCAAAGATTTAGCCAAGCAGGCCTAATTGTGATCACCTATGATTGGCAGTGTTTGTAGATTGTTCTTTTTTTCTCTATTCTCAAATTCTGTGTCTCAGGATTTGAGTACAGAGAATTTCGTGCCGTCATTACAGCGAAGATTTACCAGAGGGATGGCTGCAGAGAGGTCCCCGGAGTCTTCCTAGTTGTTTACCTATATGATTTGTGTTTTTAGATTGTCTTTTGGAGCCAATAATTCTCCGTCCCCAAATTTCTATCACTGTCTCAATTCACTCTCAGTCTGCATTGGATATTGGGACAGACGATTTGGGAACAGAGAATTTCGTGCCGTATTGTTACAGCAGAGACTTACCAGAGGGATGGCTGGAGAGAGGTCCCCGGAGTCTCCTAGCTGATAAGATTAACAACCCTCTTTAGATGATGGGTTTGTAATTTTTTTTTTGTTTTTGTTTTTTTGGAGTTGATTGTCTGTGAGATGTTTTGAGGGGACCAGCTTGTAGCTTTTGGGTGTAGTTAGAATTGGAGCTCAGCTGGTTTCTGCTCATTCTTTTTTACTTTTACTTATATATTTGTGCATCAGATGGTATATAGTTATAGAATGTGTTGTGTGTTGTGTTCTATATATGTCTGTTTCTCTTGTGAATAATGACTTGTATATTACTCTCACCATCTTGGCCACTAAACTTACTTTCAATTATTTTCTTATTATGGTTATCCATTTGTTTATAGACTCTCTTATATGGGATTAATGGGTCATTTAGTTCTTGATATAAAGTAACTAGTTATTTTTTTTATTTTTTATTTTTAGTAATGCTACAACTATTAAAAAAAAACCCAAAAAAAAAAAAAAACACGGAGAAGGCATGAAATGCAATACTGGCAGAAAAATTTATATATTTTTACTATTTTCCAAAGTTTCTAAGATTCAATTATGTGTATAGGCCACAATTTGGTTTGTTTTTAGCAAATACCCAACAAATGGTCTATTTTCTAGAGTTAAAAATAAAGTAAAATTGAAGTATAAAGAAGATACGAGATCAAACGAATCAGATATTGTCACTCTTACAATGTTATCGAAAGTTATGGATCAGTATCAAGCCTTGTCATTGTCAATTTTCGTTGTGGTAAGTTGTCATATAAGATATTTGGCACTAACAACTTATGTAAAATTGAATTAAGGATTGAGATTTTTATTAAGAATAATGCTACCCACATAAAAGAAATTTCACAGAAAGTAATGCTGGAAGAAATTTTTTTTTTGTTTGTATTGTTGTATGAAGTTTTCAAGTTGCGTATACACAAACATTTGATATATTTTTAATAAATATCTGACAAGTAATCTATTTTTTAAAATTTATAAAAATCAAAGTATAAAATATACAGGATCAAATAAATCGGAGATCATCATCCCCTCCAATGTCATCCACAGTTAACATTCAATTTTCATAATAATGGGTCATCATATAAAAGCTTGTGTAAATACTCATAATTTTGCAAAGTTGAATCAAGGAGTGAAGTTTATATTAAGAATACTGCTACAAATATGAAAATTTTCACAAAAAACGCACATGATGTATTTCTTGCAGTAAAATTTATGTGCTTTTATTGCTTTATGTAGTTTTCTAGTTGCAATTATGTCTATGTGCAACAATTTGGTCTATTTTTAACAAATACCTGACGCGCAGTCTATTTTCTAGAGTTTAAAAAAGTCTAAGTAAAAAGAAGATATAAGATTAAACAAATTGAAGATCATCGTATCCCTCAATTGCATCAGAAGTTATGAATCAGTATAGAACATGTACGGGAAAGAAATAATTTTCCTCGTATAATTCTGTCGACTAAGTCCACGCTTTTTCTTACGATGTCGCTTTGTCACCTGAAAACACAAACGTGAGCTAGCCGGCGGGTGTGTGCCGGAAACCTCTCCGATGCCTAAGTTAGAAAACTTGACAAATAGACAAAGCTCAATGTATTCAAAAAGCAAAATTGTATGTTGTGTTATGTTACCTCCTCCAAGGTGATGCTTGTAAGCTTTTATAGGTTTCGAGTGACCCAATCCTAGTAGGACTTTTATTTCTCCATGCAGAGTCCTCCTAGGATTCATACTCCTAAAGGATAATGCTTATCCTTTTACACCCCATTGCTTAAACCAAGTGGGATGGTTTTTACTACGGCCGAACTACCATTTAACCGAAGTAAACTGGCTAAGCTGAGCCACGAGGTAGGCCGAACTATCCCTAGTTCGGCCCTTCCATTTACTCGTCTTGGTTCTCCCTTGCATGAACCATGATATGTTGGGACCGAGCTACCGAGTAGCAAGGTCTTGACCGACCTATCCGGAATACGTCATGACCGGACTAACTCGGAGACCGGACTAACTCAAGTTGTCCAAACCGAAGTAGCTTTACAATTCCTGAGCCGAAGTAACTTCATCTCTTTTGACCGAAGTAACTTTATTTCTCATGGGCCGGAGTAACTTCTCGGCCCATTTTACCCGGTCCTTCGTACTTTGGGGCCATAAAGTCCATTTCATAGCTCGGCCCAATTTTCACCAAAAATTACCCTCTCAGAACATTTGGGTGGTCATATAAAAGATTGAGTATTCAATTGCGTATAATTTTACAAATTTGAATCTGAGTGAGAATTATATTAAGAGTCATATTATAAACATAAACACACAAACCAAAACAAAACTTAAACAAAAAAGGGGCATAGAATGAACTGCTAGCAGTAAAATTTATATTTTGTATTATTTTCTAAAGTTTTCAAGTTATAAATATCTATATACACAACAATTTGGTTTATTTTTAGTAAATACCCAATAGGCGATATATTTTCTGGAGTTTAGGGGAAAAAATCTAAGTAAAAATAAGACATAGATTAAACAAATTGAAGATCACGCCCATCTTCATTGTCAATAAAAGTTATGAATAACCAAGCCTTCAATTTTCATAATAATGAGTCATTATATAAACGAATTGAGTATTCAACTATATATAGTTATGCAAGGTTGAAGCAATGAGCGAGATTTTTACAAAAATGCTCAAAACGAAATGTTGGCAGAAAATTTTGTGTTTGTATTATTTTCTAAAATTTTCAAGTTGTAATTATGTATAAATGCGATAATTTAGTCTATTTTTAACAAACTCTCAATTGACAGTCTAATTTTAAGAGTTCAAAAAAAATTGTATAACAAAAATACGAGATCAAACAATTCAAAGATTGTCACCCTTATCCTGTGAGTGTTTGAAAAGTGGGTTTTTTTGTAAGTTTTTTTAGTTGTAGGATATTATTGGAGAAATTTTTTTTGTGTTTGGAAAGATAGTTGAATTTTTTTGTGGTTGGATGTGATGTTTGTAAGAGAAAAAAATGAAATGATTATGGGGTTTGATGTGATATTTTATTTGGATTTGTTTTTTTTTTTGATTTTGTAAGTAATTTGTCTTTTAGTAAAAAAAAAAAAAAAAACCAAAAAACCTCTTTCCCAAACAGCGCCATCTAAATAGGGTTTCAAGAACGACCAGCTTGATTGTTACTTTTCTCAATAAGATTATCTTGTAACAACCCTAAAAAAAAATTTAAAAAAAATGGTCACCCTTCTCAATGAATCAATATCAAGTGTTGTCTATTGTCAAGCTTCATTGGGTGGTCCAAGACCAGAGCTAATTAGTGATCTAACAACAGATTAATTGGTGAATATTTGGACAAATTGATAGTAACATGTAATGACAGACCCACCAACTAAGGACTTAACCAATTATAATCATGTAAGTGCACCATGTGGTACTCTTCATATGCCCAACCCAAAAAATATCCCTTGGCACCAAACCAAATCAATGAGCGGGATTGCAAAAAGTGTGATTTGACTGCGTAACCGGTGATTTCAAGCTAAACAAGATATTTCAAACATGGCTACAAATTTTAAAACAGCACTGAATACTGAGTAAACAAATATTAATTGTTTGATTATTTTGAAAATGTTTATTAAAGAATAGGACATCTTTGGACACACCATAGATCTCATGAAATTCAGATTAATTATATTTATTAGTCACATTACTAATGAGATTTGTACGGGGAGAAAATAATTCTCCTCGTATAATCCTGTTGACCAAGTCCACGCTCCTCCGTACGACGTCGCTTTATCACCTGAAAACACAAACGTGAGCTAGCCGGCGGGTGTGTGCCGGAAACCTCTCCGATGCCTAAGTCAGAAAACTTGACAAATAGACAAAGCTCTAAGTTCTCAGAAAGAATTGTGTTCAATTACCTCCTCCAAGGTGATGTTTGTGAGTTTTTATAAATTTCCTGTGGCACAATCCTAGTAGGACTTGTATTCCTCCACGCAGAGTCCTCCTAGGATTCATACTCCTAAGGATAATGCTTATCCTTTTACACTCTCCCCCACTGCTTAAACCAAGTGAGATGGTTTTCCCTTTGGCCGAACTACCTTTTGACCGAAGTAACACTGGTTATGCTGAGCCACAGAGAAGACCGAACTATCCTTAGCTAGGTTTTCTCCTCCAACTCCTTATCTCGGCTTTCCCCCGTTTAACCATGATGCGTTTAGACCAAGCTTCTGAGTAGCAAAGCTCTGGCCGATCTAACCACAATATACCGCGACCGGACTAACTTTGAGACCGGAATAACATCAAGGTACCTCCAGACCGGAGTAGCTTTACACCATCTTGGGCCGAAGTAATCACACCTCTCCTAACCGAAGTAACTATACCTCTCCCGGGCCGGAGTAACTATGTTACTTCTGGGCCGAAATGTTATTACGGCCTTTTACTGAGTCCTTCACACTTTGGGCCATAAAGTCCATCTTACAGCTCGGTCCAATTTTCTCCAAAAATTACCCTCTCAATTGCCCCTTAATTTCATCTGCACAGCGTGATTGGGATTACCAGTCTACAAACCGAGCTGAAGTTTATTAAGCCTTTCCAGCCGAGCTAAAAAACCCTTTAGCTTCTCCAGCTGAGCTAATTTTACGTCAGGCTTCACTCTGTTCGGTCAAAACGTCTCTTCAATCACAGCGACTGTAACGCTTCCCATTCCAATGACACGTGGCAGATTCTGATAGGCTGAGGACGGCTGTCACGCCGCCTTTCGTACTTCGTAAATTTTGAACAGTCCCGCCCAAATTTTGGGCTCTCTAACAAAAACACACCCTGAGACTAGGTCCCTTCACCTTTGTCATTTCTTCATCTTCTCTCTCTGTGTTCTTGCTGTTCGTGCTCTGCAACAGTTTTCATCTCCAGTCCCTGCTTCACCAATCTAGTAAGCAAATCTACTTTCCTTCTTACTCTGTTTTGCTTTCGCATCTGTATATCTTGTTTTGTATGTTTTTTGCCAACACTTTCTTCCATTTGCTGCTTTTGCTTCCGTATTTTTATGAAAAAACCAGTAGAACTTCATGTGTGTATGAACTATTATGTAGAAAAACCAGTCTTAGATCCAAAATCACATAGCAACCGAACTAGGATCCTGTTTGCCCCAAATACGTAGATCTCTGTAGTCAATAACCGAACTAGAACTTAAAAGTTTCAAAGGGTCACCAGAGCCTGACTCTCTTTAGCCGAAATAAGATCACTGAGTCTTGAATACATCAAACTAGGACCTTAGGTTTTCAACCGAACTAAGCTTTTGGGGCCAAGCCGGCTTTC